TTTTGAGACAAAGTCTTGCTCTGTTGCCCAGACTAGAGTACAGTGGCACGATCTCGGCTCACCACAAGCTCTGCCTCCCGGGTTCAAGGGATTCTCCTGCCTCAGCTTCCTGAGTAGCTGGGATTACAGGCACATGCCACCACACCCGGCTAATTATTTTTTTATTTTTAGTAGAGATGGGGTTTCACCCTGTTAGGCTGGTCTTGAACTCCTGACCTTGTGATCCGCCCGCCTTGGCCTCCCAAAGTGCTGGGATTACAGGTGGGAGCCACCATACTGGGTGAGCCATTGTTTTGAAACAGAATGAGTAAGGGAAAGTTTGGACACTAAATGGTGAGAAATCTACCCTCCCTCACTTCCTCACTGGGCTCCAAGAGAAAAGCCCTAAATGCTGATGGCAGTTGGAGCACCCTTTGAATCACAAGCTCAGCCCTCATTGCTGCTAATCAGTTTCACTGTTAGGTATAAACAGATAGCCATGGATAGCCAGATGTGTGATCTCCCACATGGGACAGCAAACTGAAACAATGGGAATGGAAGAAAACATTGTGACACTTATTGGGGGGAAAGTGATGTAGACTTGAATAAATAAATCCCTTAGAACAAAAAGATAAACAGTTGGAAGATAGAGAAAAAGAAAATATAATAGTATCTGTACTAGAAAGCAACCATCTAAATAAGGGTGTTTTAGAATGGGAAGTTGGCACTGGTGTTAGTGGTATGGTGTGATAAGCATAGCCACCTTCCAGAATGGGAAATCATATCAGAAAAACTGCATTTCCACTAACTACAGAGCATAATGTCTGGAAAGAGAGCCACTCCAAGACATAGCATCATGACATATTTTAACACAAGGGAATAAAAGATTTTTTTCAGAATGGAAAAAGCAGATTATGTACGTGCAAAAGATGAGGAATTCGAATGGTAGAAACACTTGAATGGTAGATGAAAATGGAAAGATATTTTTAAATTTTTGAGAAAAGAATTTCCAACCTGGAAGTCTTTGTAACAGTTAAGCTAGCAATAGACTTGAGAGGGAAATAAAGATGTTTTAATCATTGTAGAACTTTACATTTGTCATGTTTTGTGTACCCTTCATTAAGATGCTGTTGCGGGCTGTGCTCCCTCAATACGGGACAGTCCAAAAAAAGAGGAAAATCCTTTCTGAGATCTAGGAGGTCTAACACAAGGCCCAACTAACAAACCAGTACAAATACTCCTCCAAGTGTGGAAAAAGGCAATCAAATGGTGATAAATAAATGTCAACTATGCACACGTTAACATACATGAACAGGAAATTATGCAAATGAAATTGGGGCAATTTTTAATTGAGATAAAATTGTTTAATATGAAAGGATAGGCCGGGCGCAGTGGCTCACGCCTATAATCCCAGCACTTTGGGAGGCTGAGGCTGGTAGATCACAAGGTCAAGAGATCGAGACCATATTGGCCAGCATGGTGAAACCCTGTCTCTACTAAAAATACAAAAAAATTAGCTGGGCATGGTGACACACGCTTGTAGTCCCAGCTACTGGGGAGGCTGAGGCAGGAGAATTGCTTGAACCCAGGAGGCAGAGGTTGCGGTGGGCAGAGGTTGCGGTGAGCCGAGATCGGGCCATTGCACTCCAGCCTGGGTAACGAGCAAAACTCCGTCTCAAAAAAAAAAAGGATAAGAAATAGTGATTTGCTTTATGGTTTACCTTTGATCACTGAATACTGATCCAAATTATTATGGGCAAAATGGTGAAGCCATTCCCCGAGCTGAAGAATACAAAGAAGGGGCCGGGGTGGGTAGCATTCTGTTCTGGAAATGTATACATTGAAGTGCCTGGAGGTCATCAAATGCAGAGACTCAGGGGTATACAGATCTGGTACTTAAAAGAGATCTCAATAGTCCATTGTTCCTTCATTTGTAAAAAGAGGAAAGAGTCTCTACTTCGTTAAATCATTTGTGGTTGGTACTATACAATGCATCACTTTAAAAAATAAGCCTGGGTATTTCTCTGGATTTGAAAACTTATAGGCTGGGCTCAGTGGCTCACACCTTTAATCCCACCAATTTGGGAGGCTGAGGCAGGCAGATGGCTTGAGGTCAGGGAGTTTGAGACCAGCCCAGCCAACATGGGGAAACCCTGTCTCTACTAAAAATACAAAAATTAGCTGGATGTTTTGGCACGTGCCTGTAATCCCAGCTACTTGGGAGGCTACTTGAACCTGGGAGGCAAAGGTTACAGTGAGCCGAGACTGTGCCACTGCACTCAAGCCTGGGCAAGAGTGAAACTCCGTCTCAAAAGTAAATAAATAAACAAACTGTTATAATTCCGGATTTATTAGAAGGATTACTTTAAGGTCATCTATATTGTCCATATTTTATAATCTTATATGTAATCTTTTTCAGCTTCAAACGGAGACTTTCTACTCGTTCCTCAATTTTGAATGCGAAGAATCGGAGATTGAGTAGTCAGTTTGAAAGTTCAGTTTATAAAGGTGATGACGATGATGAAGATGTCATCATTTTGGAAGAAAACAGTACCCCCAAACCTGCAGTAGATCATGATGTTGACATGAAATCAGAACAGAGTCACATTGAGCAAAGTGGTGTTCAGATCGAGCTTGTGGGTGACAGTGAACCTTGTGGCCAGACTGGTTCAACAAGCACCTCATCATCCCGGTGTGACCAGGGAAATACTGCAGCTACCCAGACTGAAGTACCAAGTTTAGTTGTTAAAAAGGAAGAAACTATTGAAGATGAGATAGATGTAAGAAATGATACAGTGATTCTGCCCTCCTGTGTAGAAGCTGAAGCAAAGATACACGAAACCCAGGACACCATCGATAAATCTGCAGATGATGCAGGCTGCCAATTACAAGAACTGAGAAACCAGCTACTACTTGTCACCCAGGAAAAAGAGAATTATAAAAGACAGTGTCATATGTTTACTGATCAAATCAAAGTGTTACAACAGAGGATACTAGAAATGAATGACAAATGTGTGAAGAAAGAAACGTGCCATCAGTCCACTGAAACTGATGCTGTATTTTTACTTGAAAGTATTAATGGCAAATCCGAAAGTCCAGACCATGTGGTATCTCAGTATCAGCAAGCTTTGGAAGAAATAGAAAGGCTGAAAAAACAATGTAGTGCTTTGCAGCATGTAAAGGCTGAATGCAGTCAGTGTTCCAATAGTGAGAGTAAAAGTGAAATGGATGAGATGGCCGTGCAGCTTGACGATGTGTTTAGACAACTGGACAAATGCAGTATTGAGAGGGACCAGTATAAAAGTGAGGTGAGTTACATCATTCCACATGTAGTTGTGGAATCCAGGGCCATTTAAACCTTAAGAAGCTGCCAGTTGGCTGGGCGCGGTGGCTCACTCCTGTAATACCAGCACTTTGGGAGGCCAAGGCAGGTGGATTACTTGAGGTCAGGAGTTTGAGACCAGCCTGGCCGTTGTGGTGAAACCCTGTTTCTACTAAAAATACAAAAATTAGCTGGGTGTAGTGGTGGGCATCTATAGTCCCAGCCACTTGGGAGGCTGAGGCAGAAGACTTGCTTGAACTTGGGAGGTGGAGGCTGCAGTGAGCCGAGATCACACCACTGCACTCCTACCAGAGCGACAGAGCAAGACTGTCACCAAACAAACAAAAAGCTGCCAATCTTTGGAATACTGTCACTTAAACATAATTCTGTTTTTGTCGAGTGTCTGTTATTCTACTGGTACTCAACTGAGGAGTGGGTCTCCTGGGGGCATATGGAAATGTATAGGGGCATTTTTGGATCTTTCAGTGTCTTGAGATGTTGAGATGTGCATTCCTGAAGAATGACGGGGGTAGCCAGGTATGGTAAATGTCCTGCTGAGAATGGTAAATGTCCTGTTGAGAATGCCAATATTAACGTCACACTTTGAGATAGAGTCTCGCTCTGTCTCACCCAGGCTGGAGTGCTGTGGTGTGATCTCAGCTCACTGCAGTGTCTACCTCCTGAGTTCAAGCAATTCTCCTGCCTCAGCCTCCTGAGTAGGTGAGATTACAGCACATGCTACCATACCTGACTAATTCTTGTATTTTAAGTAGAGAGAGGGTTTCATCATGTTGGCCAGGCTGGTCTCGAACCCCTGACTCTCAAGTGCTCCACCCGCCTCAGCCTCCGAAAGTGTTGGGATTACAGGCGTGAGCCACCATGCTTGGCCTTAGTTGCTTAGTTCTGACTATCAGAACTAAGTCATCTGGCTAAAGGGTACCTGGGAAGTATAGTCTTTATTCATGGGTTCTTTCACTGAGAAAGAAGGAGAAAAATGATAAATACCAGGAGACAAATAATAAACACCAGTGGCCTTCTCATGTGCCCCTGCTTCAAATCCAGGTAGCTCCTTTTAATCTGTTTTACACATTTTTGTGTGTGTGGCCGATTTTTCCACTAAAAAGAGATTGGGAACCATAGTTTGGTGCTGTGCTGTCTCTTCCTTGGGAATATTGCCGTTCATGCAAGCACTAATCTTGATGTCTTGGCTTAGGAGCTGAAAGACAAAGTGCAGATGCTCCTCAGCTTATGATGCTGTTAGTCCTGAAAAACCTATGGTAGGTAGGAAATAGCATTAGGTCCAAAATGTTTAATTACAGCTAACCTCCCAAAATCGTAGCCTATTCTGCCTTTAAAGTGCTTAGAACACTTGTATTAGCCTACATTTGGGCAAAATTATCTAACACACAAAGTCTGGTTTATCATAACATATTTGAGTATTTCGTGTAATGTATTGAATCTGTGCTGAAAGTGAAAAACGGAATGGTTGTATTGGTATTGAAAGTTCAGTTTCCACAGAATGCATGTCACTTTTGCATCATCATAAAGCTGGAAAATCATAAAGTCAGAAAATCGTAAAGTCAAACCATCGTAAGTCAGGGACCACTTGTTTATAAAAACCATAAATTCACTATTGTAATTTAATTATAAGCTGATAAGCATGCAAAAATTGAAAGCCACTGTGACATTAACATAATTTAGGCATTAGTATCTTGGTCTTTGATTTTCTAGGTACTACTTATATATATATATATGTTTTTTTTGTTTTGTTTTGTTTTGTTTTGTTTTCCTTTCCCCTGAGACGGGGTCTTTCTCTGTCGCCCAGGCTGAAATGCTGTGGCACAATCTCGGCTCACTGCAACCTCTGCCTCCTGGATTCAAGCAGTTCTTCTGCCTCAGCCTCCCGAGTAGCTGGGATTGCAGGCATGCACCACAATACCCAGCTACTTCTTGTATTTTTAGTATGAATGCGGTTTCACCGTGTTGGCTAGGCTGGTTTGGAACTCCTGACCTCAGGATCCGCCTGCCTCGGCTTCCCAAAGCTTTGGGATTACAGGCGTGAGCCACCGCACCCGGCCCACTTTTTTTTTTTTTTTTTTTTTTAATCATGTGGTAATATGTTGTGTTCTCTCAGTGTAAAAAGATGTGGAAGTGAAGCTGTAAACAAATGAAGCCTTACTTATAGAAAACTATTTGTTTTTCTTTGTGTATTTGTTTTTTGATAGTTGATAATTTTATCAAGCAGGTTCTCTATATTTCTTGGCTTAAAATTTTACTTTGCCATTAGTATATTTAAGTTTTACAGTTATCAAATTCATTTATATTTTTTGTTAGGTTGAATTACTGGAAATGGAAAAATCCCAAATGCGTTCACAGTGTGAAGAACTCAAAACTGAAGTTGAACAGTTAAAATCTACAAATCAACAAACAGCAACAGATGTTTCAACATCAAGTAACATTGAGGAGTCCGTAAATTATATGGATGGGGAAAGGTAATATTAAATGAGACATTTTTGTGGTTATGGTTAGGATACTAATTATTTAACTGCTAGCATCCATCAAATAGATACTGTTCTATCAAAAGAAATTATTGATTGTCTGCTGTGACCCTGGTGTTATGATAGATACAAAAGAAGTGACGCTTCATTATTCTTCCTTTCCGGTTCCTGACAGTTTCGGTTCTGTTTAAGTGGAATAGGAATTTAGAAGGAATAAAGCATTTGATTGGTCAGAGTGGTTTTGAATATTTTTTGGAGGAAAGTAAAAATGGGCAAGATATTGCAGAATGGTGGAATTTGGCCATGAGTAGAAGATACGAGACTGTTAAACTCACTCTTTCAACCTGATTGGTTTTTCTTTTACTGTCATACTTGGCACCATTTCTGTATGGCTTGCTGCCCTTATTTCACTATATGCACTCTATAATCTTAACTTTTAGGAAATAACAAAATTATTAAAAATTGTCGTAGTATAGCTGATATTAGGAAGAAGTCCTATTAAAACAAGTAGAGGCCAGGCATGGTGGCTCATGCCTGTAATCCCTGTACTTTGTTAGGCTGAGGTGGGTGGATCACCTGAGGTCAGGAGTTTGAGACTAACCTGGCCAACATGATAAAACCCTGTCTGTACTAAAAATACAAAAAATTAGCCGGGCATGGTGGCGTGGGCACCTATAATCCCAGCTACTCAGGAAACCTGAGGCAGGAGAATCACTTGAGCCTGGGAGGCGGAGGTTGCAGTGAACTGAGATCATACCACTGTACTACAGCATAAAAAAAAAAAAAAGAAAAAAAACAGGGTGGGCACGGTGGCCTACACCTACAATCCCAGCACTTTGGGAGGCTGAGGTGAGTGGATCACCTGAGGTCAGGAGTTAAAGACCAGCCTGGCCAACATGGTGAAAACCTGTCTCTACTAAAAGTACAAAAATTAGCCAGGTGTGGTGGCAGGCATCTGTAGTCTCAGCTACTCTGGAGGCTGAGGCAGGATAATCGCTTGAACCTGGGAGGTGGCGGTTGCAGTGAGCTGTGATGGCACCACTGCATTCCAGCCTGGGCAACAGAACAAGACTCCATCTCAAAACCAGGTGCGGTGGCTCATCCCTGTAATCCCAGCACTTTGGGAGACCGAGGCAGATGGATCACTTGAGGTCAGGAGCTTGAAACCAGTCTGACCAACATGGTGAAACCTCGTCTCTACTAAAAATACAAAATTAGCTTGTATGGTCGTGCACACCTGTAATCCCAGCTACTTGGGAGGCTGAGGCAGGAGAATCGCTTGAACTCAGGAGAAGGAGGTTGCCGTGTGCCAAGATGGTGCCACCATACTCCAGCCTTGGCAACAAGAGGAAAACTCCGTCTGAAACAAACAAAAAACAGCTGGCATGGGAATAATTAAAGTATTATCAAAGATCTAATGGAATCTTACCATAAAAGCTCACAAAACGAACATGTTCAAAATTACATTCCCTGCATTGTCAGCCTAAGGAAGAACATCTTGATCCCTTTATAGATTTCCACACTAGAAAAGTCAGTATGTAATTTAATATGGACTTATGATATTGTAGTGGGGTGGGGAACAAGAACAATATAACACTCATTTTAGTGTTTGACATAATATTTTTTTTTTTTTTTTTTTGGGACGGAGTTTCGCTCTTGTTACCCAGGCTGGAGTGCAATGGCGCGATCTCGGCTCACCACAACCTCCGCCTCCTGGGTTCAGGCAATTCTGCTGCCTCAGCCTCCTGAGTAGCTGGGATTACAGGCACGCACCACCATGCCCAGCTAATTTTTTGCATTTTTAGTAGAGACGGGGTTTCACCGTGCTGACCAGGATGGTCTTGATCTCTTGACCTTGTGATCCACCCGCGTCGGCGTCCCAAAGTGCTGGGATTACAGGCTTGAGCCACCGCGCCCGGCCTTGATGTAATATTTGAAGCAAAAGCTGCCTTATAGTTTAGGTGTTTATTGATTAAATGCTTTTGGGCATTTTATTTTTTGAGATGGAGTTTCACCCTTGTTGCCCAGGCTGGAGTACAATGGTGCGATCTCAGCTCAGTACAACCTCTGCCTCCCAGGTTCAAGTGATTCTCCTGGCTCAGCTTCCCGAATAGCTGGGATTACGGGCATGCACCACCACACTCAGTTAATTTTTGGTGTTTTTGGTAGAGACGGTGTTTCTCCATGTTGGTCAGGCTGCTTTTGAACTCCTAACCTCAGGTGATCCACTGGCCTTGGCCTCCCAAATTGCGGGGATTACAGGTGTGAGCCACTGTGCCTGGCCAACTTTTGGGCATATTTTTTAAAAAGTCTAGAATGTTGATATTCATAAACTTGGAAGGCATGGTAATTATCTTAATCTAGGGTTTCCCAGTGTTTTCAGCAAACCATTGTTCTCTGTAAATGCATGGTAACTTGAGCATGTAATAGGATCAGATAAGTCCTACAATTAAAATTTTTTTTTTTTTTTTTTTTTTGAGACAGCCTTGCTCTGTTGCCCAGGCTGGATTGCAGTGGCACAATGTTGGCTCACTGCCACCTCCGCCTCCCAGGTTCAGGTGATTCTCCTGCCTCAGCCTCCCCAGTAGCTAGGACTACAGGCATGCACCACCACGCTCAGCTACTTTTTGTATTTCTAGGTAGAGATAGGGTTTCACCATGTTGACCAGGCTGGCCTTGAACTCCTGACCTCAGATGATCCCCCTGCCCCGGCCTCCCAAAGTGCTAGGATTTACAGGCGTGAGCCACTGCGCCTGACCTAAAGAAAGCCTCTTTAACATTGTTTAAAACATTTTGCAAGCTTATTTGACCACAGAACCTTTTATTACTGCTTATACAACTATGGATATCTTATAGAACGTGTTTTAGATAATTCTGGCTAGGCATAGTCATTCATACCTGTAATCCCAGCACTCTGAGGTGGGCAGAATGCTTGAGCCCAGGAGTCTGAGACCAGCCTGGGCAATATAGTGAAACCCTGTTGCTACAAATAATAAAAAGTAAAAAAAAAAATTAGCCAGGTATGGTGGGGTGAGCCTGTGGTTCCTGCTACTCGGGAGGCTGAGGGGGGAGAATTGCATGAACCCTGACGTGCAGTGGTGCCATTGCAGCTCACTGCAACCTTGATCTCCTGGGCTCAGGTGATCCCCCCCACCTCAGCCTCCCAAGAAGCTGGCACTATAGGTGCCGCCACCAAGCCTGGCTAATATTTTGTATTTTTAGTAGAATCAGGGTTTCCCCATGTTGCCCAGGCTGGTCTCAAACTCCTGGGCTCCAGCGATCCTCCCTCCTCAGCTTCTCAGAGTACCAGGAATGGAGGCATGACCCAAGTACACATGACTAATAAAAATGAATTATTAAAGAAAATGAGTTCTCTAGGGGAAGTTTTGCTTTTCTTTTTGTTTAATTGTATATTATTCTAGAGAGATTTGATTTTGATATTTTACCTTGTAAGTGCTACATGAAGTAATGGGTAATGCTCATCTAATAAGTTACATATTTGTATTTGCAGCCTCAAACTCCGATCTCTTCGAGTTAATGTAGGACAGCTGCTGGCTATGATTGTGCCTGATCTTGATCTTCAGCAAGTGAATTACGATGTTGATGTAGTTGATGAGATTTTAGGACAAGTTGTTGAACAAATGAGTGAAATCAGTAGTACTTAAAGTATATATTATGTAAGATAAGAAAATATTTGCTCAATTCTTTTGGTTGTACAGCTTTCAAAATATAAATAATTTTGTTTTATAGATACGATAGGCAACAGACTGAAAACCATAATCTTATGACTGTATTCTATGCATTCAAGTGTGGTCACAAATATTGTGAACACATTATCATATGTTTTGAAATACCTGTGAATTGTTGGCATTGAGCAGCTGAAGCTAATTCATGACTCTGTTTTGAATGTAAATATTTGTAATTAAGCCTGCACATATTTTTTTATTGCCCTAGAGTACTTAAGTGTTTTTCACCAAGAGCTTTTCAGGCTGCCCCCAAGCTTTGTGCAATTTTTTCTGGTTCCCCAAAGTGTATTTTTCTCTAAGTCGAGGGCTGTGCCATAATACAAATGGAAATGTTACCTTTGATTTTCTTATAAAGGAGTTTAAATAGGATTTTTAAGTAATGTAGTCACACTCCTGATACGACTCTGATTCTAAGTGAATTGAGCATTAATGTTTCTTTTGTATAAATTCCTATCCTGAAATATTTTATTCATGAAAGTAAATGTAAGCAAAAACCATCTCCATTTTGCCAGGATTTTATTGTGCTGAGATTGCCAATCAGTTAAACACAAGGAGTTTTTATAGAACGAAGAAACAGTCTTTAACAGGAAAAAAGTATTGAAACATTAAATGACCACCAGGTTTACTTTGAAGCCCATTTCTGGCTGTTTAGTCAGCATGAAGTGGGCATGATAATTTTTTAATATTTCTTTTTGTGAAATTTCCTGTACAGCCTTTTGTAGGATTACTACAGGTTAATGTGAGTTGAGGAAGAGAGTCTTTCTTGAACAATACTGCATACGATTTATTATATTACAAACCTAAATGTTTTATATCCTGGAGTCAAGGAACAAATTTCCCTAGGATTATAGTATTACATGCCATAAAATACTATGCTTTTATTGTCCTATGTTTTGTGCAATTTTAAAGAGATGGCTTTCTATTAAGTATAAACTATGTATATATAATTAAGAACCATATTTTCCACAACTAAAATGTGCATTATTTTTTCCAAAGTTTTATCATTGCTATTTATTTTTACCTTTGTTTTTGGACATTCAATGCATTCTTTTTGTATGTATGCTTAATACATGTCTGTCATATACAATATTAAATTTTTACTGTATAGTAACTTCTAGAAAGAGCAAATAAATGAAGATTGTTTTTATTTGCCTGATAAAAGTAATTGAAAGTGTATTTTTGGTATGAAACTGGTTTTCTGTCATAATTGTAATTTCCCAAATTTAAAAATAATCTTGTAATAAAATATATGATGGCTAACTGTTCAGATACTACTTTTAAAGAATTAATATTAACTTCAAATTATTTTAAAACTGAAAATGTATTCAGTTAGAACCTCAAGTTGAGCTCATTTTAACTACATTAATTGCAAGTTATTTTTTGAAGACTATTTCCATTAAAACTGAGGCGGAGCTCCTCTTTCCTGAGAGTATGTGTATTCTGTTTACAAAAAGAAGCCTTTTCTCTGCCGGGCGTGGTGGCTCAAGCCTGTAATCCCAGGACTTTGGGAGGCTGAGGCTGGTGGATCACCTGAAGTCAGGAATTCGAGACCAGCATGGCCAACACAGTGAAACCCCATCTCTACTGAAAATACAAAATTAGCTGGACGTGGTGACGCATGCCTGTAATCCCAGCTACTCAGGAGGCTGAGGCAGGAGAATCACTTGAACCTGGGAGGTGAAGGTTGCAGTGAGCCGAGATCACGGCATTGCACTCTAGCCTGGGCAATAAGAGCAAAACTCTGTCTCAAAAAAAAAAAATACTTCCTATGGCTATCTGGCTTGATGGGAAAATTTATCATTGGATTAGTAAGATAAACTTGCTTGCTAAATTGATTCTTTGGAAGTACTCATTTTTTTGCCCTTTATGAAGATATTGAAGTATTGTCAAGATATGAGACTTTGAAAACTGTTGTTTAATAGAACAATGTGGACTTTGACGGTGTGTATATCTTTCTCTTTTGTTGTGTGTGGGGGACAGTATTGCTTCAACTAACATTTATTACTTTAAAACACCAAAGGGGGCCAGGCGCGGTGGCTCACTCCTGTAATCCCAGCACTTCTTGGGAGACTGAGGTGGGCCGATCAGGAGGTCAGGAGATAAAGACCATCCTGGCTAACACAGTGAAACCCCGTCTCTACTAAAACTACAAAAAATAAGTCAGGTGTGGTGGCACGCACCTGTAGTCCCAACTACTTGGGAGGCTGAGGCAGAATAATTGCTTGAACCCGGGAGGCAGAGATTGCAGTGAGCTGAGATAGTGGCACTACACTCCAGCCTGGGCAACAGAGCAAGACTGTCTCAAGAAAAAAAAAACACACACACAACACAAAAAGTATGAGGAAGTAAACCAAAACAGTCCACAGTGTCTTCAAACAGGACCTAGGGTGGCAAAATCAGAGAGCTGAGTGAGCACACAGCAGGAGGGGCATGGCATGTCCCTGTGTGCTTCCTTTGGGCCTCAAATTCCTAATGTGATAGATCCAGTTGATGCTGCTCGTGATCTCAGACGATTTTTGCTATTAGATAGACCTCTTACACTTGGGTCTTGTGTCATGGAGGAATCATTTAAGTTCTCATCTCTGGCTGCATATTAGAATCACTTGGAGAGGTTTTTAAAGTAAGGCTGTATCTCACGCTAATTTAGTCAGTGTCTTTGGGGGTTAGAGCCAGATAACAGTATTTTTTAGGCTTTACAGGTTAATTCCAGTGCACTATCAGAGCTGAGCACCATTGATCTGTCTTCTGTTGAGTATTTACAAATGTTGAACTCGAGTGGTTAATGAAACAAACTCAAACATTCATGTGCATGTATTTAAATTGCATATATGTGCATCTCAAAATTTACACAGTGGGATTATACCATATAATTGGTAACTAAACATTTCCATATCTCAAAAAGCTTAAGTAACATTTCATCATAGGAATATGCTCCTATTGCTTATTTCTTTTTGTTAGCATATACTGTGAAAATTAATACATACCACACATGCTTTTCTGATTATATCCAGAGTGTAAATTCTTAGCAGTGAATATTGAGAGGTCAAAGAATGTATGCCATGCACATTTTAATAAATGTTGCCATCCAGAAAAGGTTGCAGGAATTTATACTTATGACAAGCAATAAGAGTATTTTCCTCAAAATCTCTCAAACTTAATTTTGCTAATTTGATATGTGAAAACATGACAGCTAACGTCTCAGGTTGAACATATTTTAGTATGTTGGCCATTTTAATTTTCTATGTACTATACATGTTCTTTGCCTATTCTTTTCTACTGGGTTGTCTTATTGCTGTAAAGCTGAAAGCTTGTGTTAATTTAATTTGGCCACATACCAGCCAAAAACTACCCAGACACACACCCATTTATTCCTATTTCAGAAAATCTGCAGTAGGTTTTTTTTTTTTCTTTTAAGACAGGGTTTCATTCTGTTGCCCAGGCTAGAGTGCAATGTGTGTGATCACAGCTTACTGCAGCCTCAACCTCTGAGACCCAAATAATCCTCCTGCCTCAGCCTCCTGAGTAGCTGGCACTATAGGCATGCCCCACCGTGCCCAGCTAATTTTTCTATTTTTTGTAGATATGGGATCTCGCCATGTTGCCCAGGCTGGTCTCAAGCTCCTGGAGTTAAGCAGTCCACCCTTCTGGGCCTCCCAAAGTGTTGGGATTATAGCTGTGACCCACCGAGCCTGACTGGTTAAGTCTTATTTTGTGCAGTGTCTCAGAAATAGGGACTCAAGTGGTTTGAAAACCTCAATAGAATCCTGTCTTTGCATGTTAGTCTATTGAACGTTGGTCACAGCTCACAAAAGGAATGCTATTGATACCTGATTGTTGTAGAGGAAAATATATATGTAAATGTGTTGCTTTTTAGAATTGTTTCTTGATCGCAGAGTTAGCTTTTATATGCTGTCCTGTAGGGACAAAGTCAAGACCAAAGGAGACACAGTCTCAAGTCAAGCCATTTAAATATAGGTGAAATAATAAATGAGTGTGAGGCCATAGAGAATGAATTCGCCATGATAGAACGAGCGTGAGTTACAATTTAAGTCTATTTTCTACACACATTCTAATGGGTTGCGAATAAATGCAATTTCCTATCAAACACATAAAACAAGTGTAGCCTCAACATTCAATATTTTGGTAAAGAGTCAACAGGAAACCTTTTAGAGCCACAATTTGTTAGAGAGTCATCAGGACTCTATGTCTTGGTAACAAGATAAATTTAAGTTTGAATATAAAGGACTTTTACCCCAACCTGGCTAACAATATTTAGGTTATGTGGTCGATATGTGAACATCTAGAATTTGGCTGTATCTTTTTTTTTTTTTTTTTTTCTTTGAGGCAAGGTATCACTCTTGCCCAGGCTGGAGTGCAGTGGTATGATCACGGTTCACTGCAGCCTCAACCTCCCAGGCTCAAGTGATTCTCCCACCTTAACTCCCACAGGTAGCAGGTACTACAGGCACGTGCCACTGCACCCATTTAATTTTTGAATTTTTTGTAGAGACTGGTTTTGCTCTGTTGTCCAGGCTGCTCCAACTGCTGGCCTCAAGCAGTCTACCTGCCTCTGCCTTCCAAAGTGCTGGGATTACAGGCGTGAGCCACCACACCAAGCTGACTGTAACTTCATAACAAAATTTGTGTTTTATATTCACAAAGGAGACAAGTCTTCCTAATCTCCCACGGGGTTCCTGTTGGAAGTGAAGCCCTTGGTTTGTACTGTGATCTGAACCAAGGCTGAATTTTGAGTATATAACTTTTTTATTCTAGGCAGTTGTGCTTGTTTTGTGATTCCCTCGGAGATTGGAATCTCTCAAAATGTGATATTCGTGGAGGAGTTGGGATACCAGCAAACTTGTCCAACCTGCCTTGGCTGGTGGTTTTAAGTTTTTTTTTTCCCTAGGATCGGTTCAAGAACTTCTGGGTTCAAGGGATCTGGTCACCTTGGCCTCCCAAAGTGTTGGGATTACAGGCATGAGCCACTGCTTCCAGCCTTTAAAAAAATATTTTTTGAGACAGGATGTTGGTCTGTCACCCAGGCTGGAGTAGCAGTGGTATGATCACGGCTCCTGCAGCCTCAACCTCCCGGGCTTGGGTGATCCTTCCACCTCAGCCTCCTGAGTAGTCAGGACCGCAGGCACACACCACCATGTCGAACTAATTTTCGTATTTTTTGTAGAAACGGATTTTTCCCTTGTTGCCCAGGCTGGTCTCGAACTCCTAGGCTCCAGCAATGCACCCCCACCTTAGCCTCCTAAAGTGCTGGGATTACAGGAGTGATACCCTAACTTAAGGTTTTGTTGATTTTTTCTTTGTTTTCCTATATATACTCCAGGGTGTTTCAGAGGTAAGGTATTTCAATACATCTAATAAATTTCCCAGTCTAGACTTGGTGACAGCCATTTCTCCAAGGAGCTATGCTTTGATTTGTGGAAAATGCTATTTGAAGACCATAATCTAAGCACAGATACAGTCACTGTTTCTAGTTAGGGCATTTATTATTGTTATTATTATTTTTTTTTTTGAGACAAGGTCTTGCTCTGTTGCCGAGGCTGGAGTACAATGGTGCAATCACAGCTCACTACAGCCTCAAACTCCTGGGCCCAAGCACTCCTCCTTCCTCACTCTCTCAAGTACCTGGGAATCACAGGCACATGCACATGCCTGGCTGATATTTTTTTTTCCCTAGATGCAGGGTCTTGCTATGTAACCCAGGCTGGTCTTTAACTCCTGAGTTCAAGTGATTCTCCTGCTTCAGCCTGTCAAAGTGTTGGTATTACAGGCATAAGCCACTGTGTCTGGCCTAGTTTGGGCATTTCTAAGCCTTTTTAGTGGACTGAACTAAAAGAGACTATATAAATACAGTCTCAAACTCAAACTCCTGGGCTCAAGTGCTCCTCCTTCCTCAGCCTCCCAAGTACCTGGGACTATAGGCACATGCCACCATGCCTGGCTGATTTTTTTCCCCCTGGGTACAAGGTCTTGCTACATTGCTTAGGCTGGTCTTGAACTCCTGGGCTCAAGTGATACATAAATATAGTCTCTTTTGCTGAAAATCTGGGTTCCTAACCACATAATTATTCGCTCTTCCCAATGTATACATAATACATACGTATGCATATATGTAACAAATACCAATATTTTCCAACCATAGTATCTGAAGAAGTAAGCCTTCTTTGGGGTAACATTTCTGTGTTTGCCAATCACTTGAAATAACTTGTTCTTATGTGCATCACAATGTTTCTTCATCCGTGTTGCTGCCTGTGACTGACACGCTGTGTCAGTCAGCGTGGAGTTCTCCAGAAAAACAGAGCCAATAGGGTAGATGCAAGAGATGGATCAGGAGGAGTGGCTTAAGTGGTTTTGGAGGCTGAGAAGTCCAGTAATCTGCTGTCTGCAAGATGGAGACCCAGGAAAGCCAGTGCTATAACTTAGTCCCACTCCAAAGGCCTGAGAACCAGGAGCTCTGACGTCTGAGGGTGGAAGATGAATGTCCCAACTCAAGAAGAGACAGAATTCGCCCTTCCTCCACTTTTTGTTCTTTTCAGGCTCAACAGACTGGATGATGCCCCAGATACTGCTCAGGTTGGCGAGGGCGGATCTTCTGTACTCAGTCTACTGATTCAAATGCTAATGTCTTCCAGAAACACCCTCATAGTCAGAAACAATGTTGACCAACTATCGGGCATGTCTTGGCCCCGGGCAGACTGACACATAAAATTAACCATCACAGTATTTCTTTTGGATTACGGAGTAGAATCCCATGGTATGAATATAGCACAGTTTGATTACCTTTTCTCCTGTGGCTGGATATTTGGTGTCTTTCCAGTTTGGGACTATTGTGAATAATGATTCTTGTGAATAATGATTCTTGTATGAATTTGCTTTCGTTCTCCTGATATATATGCCAAGGAGTGGAATTGCTGAGTCATGGCGTATGTATATCATTAACTTTATTAGACACTGTTGAACAGTTTCTTAAAGTATTTACATCAGCTTATACTTCCACCAGCAGTGTGCCAGAGCTCCTGTGGTTCCCATTGTCCTTTACTGATTTCTGTCATTTTCTTCTATTTTCCTTTTTTTATTTTTTTGAGACTGAGTCTCACTCTGTCATCCAGACTGGAGTGCAGTGGCGTGATCTCAGCTCACTGCAACCTCTGCCTCCTGGGTTCAAGCGATTCTCGTGCCTCAGCCTCCCAAGTAGCTGGGATTAAGGCGTCCGCCACGATGCCCAGCTAGTTTTTGTATTTTTAATACAAAATACAAAAGATAGACGGGGTTTCACCATGTTGTCCAGGCTGGTCTCAATCTCCTGACCTCTAGTGATCTGCCCGCTTCAGCCTCCCAGACTGCTGGGATTATAGACGTGAGCCACCACGCCTGGCCTCTCCTATTTTTCTTATTCTGATATTTGCTCAACACTTTTCCAACGCTGTATTGAACTTTTTATTTGTGCTATCAAAGCTTTTTTGTTGTTGTTTTTGAGACAGAGTCTCACTCTGTTGCCTAGGCTGGAGTGCAGTGGTGCGATCTCAGCTCACTGCGACCTCTGCCTCCTGGGCTCAAGTGATTCTCCTGCCTCAGCCTCCTGAGTGGCTGGGACTACAGGCACACCACACCCAGCTAATTTTTGTATTTTTAGTAGAGATGGGGTTTCACCATGTTGGCCAGGATGGTCTCCATCTCTTGACCTCGTGATCGCCCTCCTGGCCTCCCAAAGTGCTAGAATTACAGGCATGAGCCACTGCACCTGGCCCTAAAGGATGTGTTTTGATCTTTTAAATCCATAGTTCAGAGTCGTGACACTTCAAGAGGTGGGCAGAGTATTCATTTGTGAGTGAACAGCATTTATGAGAAATTTGAAGAATTCTGATGTGTGAGAGACAGGCAGAATCCCAGGCTTTCCAAAACAGACTGATTATCACACCCATCAGGGAGCTTATGAAAATGCAAACCCCTGGAGCCGCTGGATGTTTGCAATCATTGGGCTGGTTAGGGCCAGGAATCTCTACTTTTAGAACAGCCAGATTATCTAAAGTATATGGTCATTCCCAGTCCAAGCTCTCTAAATCCTGGAGAGAAAAATCTAAAAACTGCATATCTGGATTATGTTATTCTAGCTTCCTATAGAAACTTGGCTTCAGGCTGGGCGCAGTGGCTCACGTCTGTAATCCCAGTACTTTGGGAGGCTGAGGTGGGCAGATCATAAGATCAGGAGATCGAGACCATCTTGGCTAACACTGTGAAACCCCGTCTCTACTAAAAATACAAAAAAGTAGCCGGGCTTGTTGGCACACGCCTGTAGTCCCAGCTACTTGGAATGCTGAGGCAGCAGAATCTGTTGAACCTGGGAGGCAAAGGTTGCAGTGAGCGAGATCGCGCCACTGCACTCCAGCCTGGGCGGCAGTGCGAGACCCCCCCCAACCCCGCACCGTCTCAAAAAAAAAAAAAAAAAAAAGCGGGCTTCAAGGAGCATACAGCCATTCTCATCAACATGAGACATTGATTTGTAGACAATTTCTGTAACTTTCATAAAGCTGGCTAAAAGCCTTAGTATTTATATAAGAATACATGTCTGTTCTTGTTTTTCAAAAATGCCTAGAACAGTTGGTTCCTCAGATAAACCTGTGAGATCCTTTTATTCAGTAAAAGCAGTGTATCCAGAGGTACTTGTTTCCCCGCCTTCTGGGGAATTAGGTCTCAGATGGAAACGTCCCATTTCAAAAGGCCTTGCGGTATCTATCTCTGCCTACCGCTCGTTTTACAGCCTCATTTTTAAATGTTAGTCTGTTTTTTTAAAAAGGGTTTGTGACAGCATCTGCCATGATAATAAAGTGTAAGCAACCTCGCGCTAGGTACTGAACAATTTCATAACTTTGAACTCTCCAAAATGTTCTAGAAGCCAATATAGAAAACCCAGAAATTGCAATTTTTGTTTGCAGAAGGAGCACGAGACCCGGTTGTGTTCGCCCTCCACCAAGTACCCAGGGCTAGCATAGAGTCGGTCTAACACACAACCCAGGCTCTGTAAACTTTTGCTAAAAGAACGAATCAGCAAGGAATAAGTAATGGAGAGTAATGATGAATAATAATGATTCCATTCTTCCTGCTGTCGTGGGTCTGGCAGGAGTAAATTCCGGCCCGGATTCCGACCCCAGGCCCAGAGCGGGACTCCCCTCTGCGCCCAGGAGGGGGCGGGACCTGAGGGGCGCTGGAGGGGCGGGGCGTCAATGGGGACCCCGCCCATGTTGGGGGCGGGGCCTGCGGCGCGCGGGAAGAAGGCGCGCGGCGCGGGAGGTGACGGCGCGGCTGACGGTCCGGGTCACTGCAGGTACAGCTTCCCGGGGTTGGTCCAGGGGGCTTCGTGGCATTTCTGGTCGCGTCGGTCTCGAGCCAGAGGCCCTTGCCGACGGCGGGCAGCTGGGGCCCAGGGATAGCTCCGGAGCGGCGCGCGTTTGGGCGGCGGGGCCCCGTCCATCCCCTGGCCCTGCGCGGCCTCCTCCCGGCGGCCTGCGTCCCAGCTGCCCGGGCCCAGTGCCCGGTCCCTGGGAAAGGCGGGGTTCTCCTCTTGCCCCACCGCCCGGGTCCCCTACCCTGTTTGGCCCCCTCTTCCGGGATGCCCCTCCCCGGGCGGGCCCCTCCCCCAGCTCCCAGGACGCGCCCTCAGCCCCCACTAAGCGGGAACTGGCCGTGCAGCCGGCCCGGGCCCCTAGGTAGCCTCCACCTGGGTGTTTCGTTTGGTTTTCTGGACGTGGCGGAGTATCATTAACTTGTGGACTTCAGGGCCCAGCGAAGCATTTTAGGTGGAGCTAGCAAGGTGTTAATGTCAGATGGCAACGTTGACATCCTTTCCCAACGCAAAGTGGTGCGTTTTAAATGGCTCCTGACTCCTATTCAATGCTCAGTAACCCTTTGCTGCTGCTGTAACACTGTTGTTTAATCCATGACCAGCATTTTGCAGCTGTCCTCTGTTTTGAAGCAGAACTGTGCCGGAGAAACGTTTTGCCCCTTCGAGACTCAGGAGGATGAAAGTCATCACTTGTGAAATAGCCTGGCACAACAAGGAGCCCGTGTACAGCCTGGACTTCCAGCATGGAACGGCCGGAAGGATCCACAGACTGGCGTCTGCAGGCGTGGACACCGCTGTCAGGGTAAACTGGGGCAGAGAAGACATAGGAACACTGCTTGAAGCGATTGTTTTCATTCTTTTATTTAAAACTAATGTCGGCTGGGCGTGGTGGCTCAGGACTGTTATCCCAGTGCTTTGGGAGGCTGAGGTGAGAGGATCACTTGAGCCCAGGAGTTCAAGACCAGCCTGGGCAATGTAGTCAGAAATTAAAAAGTAGCAAGATGTGGCAGGGTCAGGTGTAGGCCCAGCTACCCTTGGGAGGTTGAGGTGAGAGGATCACTTGAGCCTAGGACTTTGAAGCTGCAAATCCCTAGGAATTTGAACCCTAGAAGGTTGAAGCAATGATCACTCCACTGCACTCCAGCCTGGGTGACAGAGCCAGACCCTTCTCTTAAGTAAATGAATGAATGAATGAACGAACGTATGTTGACAAATTCAAGCTACTTTGTCATCTAGCTCAGAATGCTAAATTTCCAGGGCCTGGAGCGAACAATGAAAGTAAAAGAGAGCTGCTTGCTTTTTTTTTTTTTTGAGGCAGAGTCTCACTCACTTGCTCAGGCTGGAGTGCAGTGGCGGTGATCTCGGCTCACTACAACCTCCACCTCCCAGGTTCAAGTGATTCTTCTGCCTTAGCCTCCAAGTAACTGGGACTACAGGTGCCTGTCACCACACCCAGCTAATTTTTGAATTTTTAGTAGAGATGGGGTTTCACCATGTTGGCCAGGATGGTCTTGAACTCCTGACCTCAGGTGATCCACCCACCTCAGCCCTGATTTCTTATTTGAGTCATTTTCCCTAGATGATTGTAACTGGATGTTCATTGTTTTGGGATCCTGATCTGGGTTCCTGTTGGATAACAAGTTGCTCTAGAAAGAAGGTGGAGGGGGACAGTAGACATTTATGTTTTAGATAGGGAGTTCTTTCATTTTATGTTTCAAAAGAAAAACTACATTTTCTTTCTGGAAATAAACATAGTATTTTTTTTTTTTTTTTTTTTTTTTGAGGCATAGTCTTACTCTGTCTCCCAGGCTGGAGTGCACTGACCTGACCTCCCAGGCTCAAGTGATCCTCCCACCTCAGCCTCCCTGGTAACTGGAACTACATGCATGTGCCATCACACTTGGCTAATTTTTTAAATTTTCTGTAGAGACAGGTCTCACTATGTTTCCAGGCTGGTCTCAAACTCCTGGCCTCAAGTGATTATTTGCCCACCTCGGCCTCCTGAAGTGCTAGGGTTACAGGTGTGAGCCACTGCATCTGGCCCATGGTATTGTGTGTGTGTGGTTTTTTTTTTTTTTTTCTTTTAAATGGAGTCTTGCTCTGTCGCCAGGCTGGAGTGCAGTGGCACGATCTCCACTCACTGCAACCTCCGCCTCCTGGGTTCAAGTAATCCTTCTGCCTCAGCCTCCCGAGTAGCTGGGACTATAAGCACACACCACCACGCCCAGCTAATTTTCGTATTTTTAGTAGACATGGGGCTTCACCATGTTGGCCAGGATGGTCTCGATCTCTTGCCATCGTGATCCGCCTGCCTTGGCCTTCCAAAGTGCTGGGATTACAGGCATAAGCCACCTTGCCCAGCCCATAGCATTGTTCTAATACAAACAGTATAATATGTGCTCACTCTGTGTTTCTCAAATGAATATTTTGTTATCAACAGATCTGGAAGGTAGAGAAGGGACCAGATGGAAAAGCCATTGTGGAATTTTTGTCCAATCTTGCTCGTCATACCAAAGCCGTCAATGTTGTGCGTTTTTCTCCAACTGGGGAAATTTTAGCATCAGGAGGAGATGGTGAGTCTTGCTGTTCTTCAGAGACTCTTTAGGAACCAAATAGATACCTGTGTGTCTTCTGTCAGATAGTGAGATTTGAGCTGGATATGCTTTTTATTTGAGGTGTGGCCGGTCCTCTCAATCTGTCATTTGGGTAGCTAAGTAAAATAATGTTCTAGGGAGTGTGTGAGAGTCGTGGGAGGGAGGACAGCAAGATTAAATCCAGAAGACCTGTTTGAAAGCAGCTGCTTTCCCACTAGCTCCCACCAAGCTGGCTGTTCTAAGACAAGAGGGAAAGGCACTTACCCCTCTGTCACATCCCAAGCAAGGTGACTGTTCTGGTTTCGTTTGATTGTTAGTTTAATATCTGGTGACCAGAGTCGGTTCTGTGTCTCTGTGTGATTAATTAACTGGCTTTGGGAGTACTTCTTTTTAGTTTCATGCTTGTTGCCCAGGCTGTAGTGCAATGGCTCTATCTCGGCTCATTGCAACCTCTACCTCCCAGGTTTAAGCGAGTCTCCTGCCTCAGCCTCCTGAGTATCTGGGATTACAGGCACGCGCCACCATGCCCAGCTAATTTTGTGTTTTTAGTAGAGACAGGGTTTCTCCATGTTGGTCAAGCTGGTCCTGACCTCAGGTGATCCGCCTGCCTTAGCCTCCCAAAGTGCTGGGATTACAGGCATGAGCCACTGTGCCAGGCTGGGAGTATTTTTTTTTTAACCAGTCATCTTTTATTTGAGCTTTTTTTTTTTTTTTTTTTTTTTTTTTGTGAGACAGAGTCTCTCTCACTCTGTCACCCAGGCTGGAGTGGAGTGGCGCAATCTCAGCTCACTCACTGCAACCTCCGCCTCCTGGGTTCAAGCAACTCTCCTGCCTCAGCCTCCCGAGTAGCTGGGATTACAGGTGCCTGCCACCACGCCCGGCTAATTTTTGTATTTTTAGTAGAGATGGGGTTTTGCTATGTTGGCCAGGCTGGTCTCGAAGTCCTGAGCTCAGGCAGTTTGCCTGCCTCAGCCTCCCAAAGCGTTAGGGTTACAGGTGTGAGCCACTGTGCCCGTGCTATTTGGGCATTAATTTTAAAGTGGGATATGAAAGAATTCAGCAGTGGCCAAGTTCCTCACGGAGGGGTGCTATGCTCAGAAGCGCAGTGTGCCCTCCCACTGGCCCCTCTTCAGTGGGCCCTGAGTAGCCGCCTGTGTTTGATCTCCTGGTAAGAAAAGCAGGAGCTGAAAAGCACGTGAGCTGCCGGCACCCTGGAAACCCCTGCGATGCTCCCTTTCTTCACAGTGACATACTTGTTGTAATACCTGTGGTAGCCTCTGAATCGCTCCAGCAGCGCCCGTCCAGGTGAGATCCTGCATTGATACCCAGCTTGGCAGCTCTCTAGTTGGACATCCATGTGTTTCCTCCTTTTCCCTGCGGTGATTTTGTTCCCTGCTGTGACTGATACCGTCTTGAAGTCTTGATGTTGGCAGTGCCAGGATGTTGAAGGGTGCTGGGGAGGAAGCACACTGGGAGTGTCGTTAATGAATGGTCTTGTGATTTGTGCTTGGTTGGTGGAAATAGATTGATTCGTATTTTCTGCCTGTGCTTAAATGGGATAAAATTATACGGAAAAAGTAAACCAGGCTGAGTGCAGTGGCTCACACCTGTTGTAATCCCAGCACTTTGGGAGGCCGAGGCAGGTGGATTATTTGGGGTCAGGAGTTTGAGACCAGCCTGGCCAATGTAGAGAGACCTCATCTCTACTAAAATACAAAAACTAGCTGGGCATGGTGGCAGGCACCTGTAATCCTAGCTATGCAGGAGGCTGAGGCAGAGAATCGCTTGAACCTGGGAGGCAGAGGTTGCAGTGAGCCAAGATTGGACCATTGCACTCCAGCCTGGGCAACAGAGTGAGACTCTGTCTCAAAAAAAAAAGTAAACCTTCTTACCATACTTTAAAACAATGTAGAAACTAGTACAAAATAAAACAGAAATCTAAAGGGTTTTTTTGCAGAAGGAGGAAAAGAGACCTGGTTGAGTTCAGTGCCATGATACCTGGAGTGTGTGAAGGTGTGCGTGTGTGTACGTGTGTGCTCTCATTTGTAGCAGGAAAGGTGGGGAGCAGGAGCGTCATTTAGGGGTGGCTACATGCTGTTTCCCTTGCAGTTGCACATGTCAGCCCTCATTTTCCAAAGTTCCTTGGCCTTAGAGGCCCAGAAACCTGCTTTTGTCAGCATGCGGAGAGTGTTCATCCATTACGGCCAATGGCATCTTAACCAAGCTCCTAGACCAATATGTGCAACCAGGATTCCGGTTAACTTAGATGGGAATGCGTATGTCCTTACAACCCTATTCATTCACTCTTCTGCTGTGCACATTCCTAAAAGGGAAGCCATTGGATGGCCAGAAGGTTATGTGGTAATCGAGGAGTCAGAATGTGGGGAGTTAGCGGACTCAGACATTGAGTGACCTCAGGCTAAAGGACCTGATGTATCTATAATGAAATTAATAGTTGACACTGGGGCTTACTGTCTGCCGGCTGTTTTTTTGTGTGTTATGCCCAGTGGCCAGTTTAATCCTCACTACAGCCTGTGAGGTAGGTATACTGTTATCTCCATTTTTGGGACAGGGTCTTGCTCTGTCACTCAGGCTAGAGTACAGTGGTGAGATCAGAACTCAATGCAGCCTCCACCTCCTGGGCTCAAGTGATCCTTCCACCTCAGCCTCCCAAGTAGCTAGGACCACAGGTGTGTGCCACCACACCTGGCTAATTTTTTTGATTTTTAGTAGAGACAAAGTCTTGCTCTCTTGCCCAGGCTTGTCTTGAGATCCTGGGCTCAAATGATCCTTCTGCCTCAGCCTCCCAAAGTGCTGGTATTACAGGCATGAGCCACCACACCCTACTTGTTATCCCCATTTACAGGTGAGGAAACTGAGACATCAAGACCTTAAGGGACTTGCTGAAGGTTTTCAGCTGGGAACATTTGCCAGCCTTTGCACTGGGTTTTTTTTTTTGCTGTTTTGTCTTTCCTTCCTTCCTTCCTTCTTTCC